TTCTTTTATGTACAGTTATTGCATACTGCAGAGTGGGATGTGCAGAAATAAAATAATTGTACGTGAAACTGTTATTGTGCTTGCCCTTTTACAGCTTTTGTTGAACAAGATGATGTGTTCCCTTTGCATGTTTGGAATGACAGGAAAATATCTAAGCCTTCTTACAAAAATAAGGCAATTCCTAAAGGCTGTCATTCTGTAAATGAACTACAAGCACATGTTTTTTTCACTTTTACTGGAGAGGATAAAAGTGTTTAATTGTCTCTCTGCTCAACAAGATTAAGCTTCAGTCTTTGGCTCTGTGCTCAGCAGATGTGTTTGTCTAAGAACATTGCCTTCTGGAGATTTATCAGGACTGTTTTCTGCTGATGGCTGGGACAAGCAGCATTCATGAAAAAGAGGGTGTGTGTGTCGGAAATTGGAAGTTATTTATTTTACCTAGATTTTTTTACAAAATCTATTCCTGTAAATTTATTACATACAAGCTGTTTTTATCCTTTTAATGGGACCATGTTACAACCACGAGGAGTTGTTAATGTACCATCAATTGAGACAAAACTGTATAATTGAACAAGATTAAACTTCCTATAAGCCAGTGTCTTGTGTTATTATAAACTCTGCAGACATGCAGAGTTTTGTGGACTAAAATATTTTTTTCTTAGCTGGCAGAATCATAAGTTTTAATTAGGCATTATGGAGAGTGTGTGATGTATTTTGTAACTAACAGACTTGTATACTACAAGCAAACTAATTGCTAAATTTTTGTTGTTTCCTAAAATGTTAAAATATTTCAAATGCTTTATAGCATTAGTGGGTTTCCTCATACCTCTGAAAGCTGCGTACTAAAGGCTGACAGTTGTGCTGATTTGCTTTGATTCATGTTTACTGTAAAGTCTTATTTAGGGAATATCTCTCTTGAATAATTGACCATAAATTTAATGTGTCCTTCTCATAAACTCTAGCTAGACCTTTGGTGGCCCAGTTAGTCTTACTAAGTAATTAATTTTTTGAATAATAAACACTTGCTTATTTTAGAAAATCCTTGCTCACTTCTTTGCAAAGAATACAATATCCAGTTATGTTGGTTGCTCTGGAGTGTAAAAAACATACAGTAAATTCTACTTGTTTTTTGCAGAAACTGTTACATTAGTCCCTCTTTACTTTTAGGCTTCTACCTTTGGCATCCTGACAAGATCAAATGCATAAATGTTCACTGACACGNCCTGGAGTGGATACAACACGGACTCAAAGTATCTAGACACAGGAGGCTCAAACTTGCTGGAATAATCCCGGGTTTATTGTCTGTCGTCCATCCGGGGCAAGAGAGAGAGCGAAATGCTCTGGATCTTATCTCTTATACCAGGGGGCAGGGGTGATTAGGGGATGCAGGGAGGTCACAGCCAATGGGAAGGGGGGGGAGGGAAAGAAGGTTTTCAGGTAGGAGCTAACATTACACAAACCAGAGGTGAGTTTTACCCTTGGGAGGAACCAAGATTTCTAGATGCACTACAACACTTGGTCTTTTCCTGTAAAAAGAGCCTACTACCTCTTAAATAATTTTTTTTCTGAAAATGGCTTTTGTTTGCCGTTGCTTACAAATCAGTAAAGTGGACACAGAACATAAACTCAGATTGATTCTCACTGAATTACTAAAACCATGAAAAGTAGGTAATAGCTGAATGTTGTGCTTTGGGTTATTAGACTTCTTGAACATTTCTAACCTTACAGTTCAAGTAAACTGCTTTTTCAAAGCCCCTTTGACAGGAAGTAACTTGAAAATCAAATAGTATTTATGCCACATATTTGGGACAAAAATAATTGTAAAAAGAATTCATAATGAACTTGAGACAGGTTTGACATTTCAAGTGTCTTTACTGTTAGAATGTATAAACATGCCATAGAAGAAAAAAGGGGGGTAAAAACCTCTCTGATAAACTAAGGAGCAGTTGTTTCTGTTGCTCAGGTGACTGTGGCTCAGTAAGCTGCACACTAGGTCTTTGATGGCAGCAAAAGACCTATGTTCCTCATTTAGAGAGAAATGGTCTTTTGCAGGGAAAATAATTTGTCTGTTTTAATAATAAAGCTTTGAAATAATTAGATGGGAATGTAGAAGTAGTGTAGGAAGGGTTGTATACTGAACTTTGCTGATTCCAGAACAATTCGTATAGGATGCTTCTGTGAAGACCTGGGCTTATTTAAGTAAAGAAAATACGCTAGTTTATTTTGGTAAGAGGAGAGGTTGGCTTCAGTGCACTCTGGGATTAACATGATGTTTGAACAGTTATATATTCTTAGGCTTATTTTTAGATGGTGAAATGTATCAAAACACTAGTGAAACCAAAGAACTATGAATTGCCATTTCTTTTTTTATTACTTAATTTTCTTTTTAGACTTGTAGATACAGTAGTGTATTCTTCACTCTTAAGTTATGGTGAAAGATTACATTTAACATTCTTTTATCTTGATTTATCTTTTTCTGTCCTTTCTTTTATGTACAGTTATTGCATACTGCAGAGTGGGATGTGCAGAAATAAAATAATTGTACGTGAAACTGTTATTGTGCTTGCCCTTTTACAGCTTTTGTTGAACAAGATGATGTGTTCCCTTTGCATGTTTGGAATGACAGGAAAATATCTAAGCCTTCTTACAAAAATAAGGCAATTCCTAAAGGCTGTCATTCTGTAAATGAACTACAAGCACATGTTTTTTTCACTTTTACTGGAGAGGATAAAAGTGTTTAATTGTCTCTCTGCTCAACAAGATTAAGCTTCAGTCTTTGGCTCTGTGCTCAGCAGATGTGTTTGTCTAAGAACATTGCCTTCTGAAGATTTATCAGGACTGTTTTCTGCTGATGGCTGGGACAAGCAGCATTCATGAAAAAGAGGGTGTGTGTGTCGGAAATTGGAAGTTATTTATTTTACCTAGATTTTTTTACAAAATCTATTCCTGTAAATTTATTACATACAAGCTGTTTTTATCCTTTTAATGGGACCATGGTACAACCACGAGGAGTTGTTAATGTACCATCAATTGAGACAAAACTGTATAATTGAACAAGATTAAACTTCCTATAAGCCAGTGTCTTGTGTTATTATAAACTCTGCAGACATGCAGAGTTTTGTGGACTAAAATATTTTTTTCTTAGCTGGCAGAATCATAAGTTTTAATTAGGCATTATGGAGAGTGTGTGATGTATTTTGTAACTAACAGACTTGTATACTACAAGCAAACTAATTGCTAAATTTTTGTTGTTTCCTAAAATGTTAAAATATTTCAAATGCTTTATAGCATTAGTGGGTTTCCTCATACCTCTGAAAGCTGCGTACTAAAGGCTGACAGTTGTGCTGATTTGCTTTGATTCATGTTTACTGTAAAGTCTTATTTAGGGAATATCTCTCTTGAATAATTGACCATAAATTTAATGTGTCCTTCTCATAAACTCTAGCTAGACCTTTGGTGGCCCAGTTAGTCTTACTAAGTAATTAATTTTTTGAATAATAAACACTTGCTTATTTTAGAAAATCCTTGCTCACTTCTTTGCAAAGAATACAATATCCAGTTATGTTGGTTGCTCTGGAGTGTAAAAAACATACAGTAAATTCTACTTGTTTTTTGCAGAAACTGTTACATTAGTCCCTCTTTACTTTTAGGCTTCTACCTTTGGCATCCTGACAAGATCAAATGCATAAATGTTCACTGACACGAACTCTGACAGCAATTGGAAAAAACTGTGTCTTGGAGGAAGATGGGTTGAGGAAGAAGACTATATTTCTCATTTTTGCACATTGGCTCATAGTTTTTATGCCCTGAATGTGACACTGAGAAACAACACAGGTTTATAAACTTGTAGCTTCTGAAAATGATGATGTGAGGAAAAAGATGAGTACTTTGTCCAAGCTTTACCAGAAGATTGATGTTCAGCAGTACCAGTTATTGCTGATAACTGTATTAACAGTTACTTACTACATGCTGCAGTTCTGGTAGTAACAGAATGTCACTGATGCATTGGAAGATCACAGAATCAATTAGGCTGGAATAGACCTCAATGAGCATTGAGCACAACCTCTGACTGAAGACCACCACAACAGCATGTCACTCAGTGCTGTGGCCAGTCTTTCCTTAAACATCTCCAGGGATGGTGACTTCACCACCTCCCTGAGCAGTCCATTCCAATGTCTTAACACCCTTCTTGTGAAGAAATTCCTCCTAATGTCCAACCTAAACCTCACCTGATGGAGCTTAATCTTAAGATCATGTTACATATGAGAAATAAGGAATGTCTTCTAAAAGAAATTACTTCAAGAATCTTGTGCTAAAGAATCTTTCCAAAGGGTGATACTCAAGAAGTTTGGGTTTCCATTTAGGCTGCACATGTGTTCCTCTACTTAATCGCATATAATTTCATTTCGTTCTGTGAGACCCTGACACACTGGCATGTTGAACACAGAAATAAGATTTCCTTAATGTGCATAAACTATGAACCTATTCTGGGGCTTTTTTTTGCTAGTTTTGGATTTATAGTTTGGAATGGTGATACTTGATTTCTGCTAAGCAATTTGGTGGAAGGACTTGGTATGTTCTGTTAAGAACCTAGGATAAGACTTCATCCTTAAAAAGATACATCTGTTGAGTATTAGGTATTTGGAGGTTCTTTTCAATCTGTTAAGCTGCATATTAATGCCAGTTTCTGAGAAATGTTGGACATTCCATCCACGTGCTTTGGAGAAACAAACTAATTTTTAGCTATTCCATTGTGTGTCTTTTATTTGCTTTGCCTGTTGAACTCTGGTCCAGTGGAGCAATACAAGATGTAAATATCCCTATAAGCACTAGTTTCACCTGAGAAAGTTTATTTTCTTTGTTTCTTAATTGCCAGTCATTTCAGAAGAAACATTCAAACTTTGTGTGGCTTGGAAGCAGTGGGGCTAGCTTGGTTGGTAATAGGTTAGTGTATTAGTTTTTAGGCTTTGTTTTAAATGTTGTTTTTGTTTTTAAATCAGGAGCCAATGAAGTCGAGAGCACCACAGCTACATTTGGAATACAGATTCTACAAGCAGCTAGGATCTGGAGGTAAAAAGCAGTGTAATGCATTTTACTATGATGTAATCCAGGGTCAATTCTTGGCTGAAGTTTTCGGGTTTAGAGGTACAAATCTATTTAATAAAGTGTTCCTAAATATTTAAGGCAGAAAAAAGCCCCAGGAGTTAGTGGATTAATGTATAAATTCCAGTATTCTAACTTTTTTTTCCTGCTCTATAAAGTATATCTATGAAGTCCTCACTATTTAATAAATCCTACCTATCACAGCATTTGTCTGCATACAGGTATACCTTAAAGTAAGTAATCTTAGACTATTCCCAATACAACTCTTTGAAAAAATGCTGTAGATCTCCAAACTGCTAATCTGTTGATCATGTATTTTGAGTTAAAGCTGATGTGATACTGGAACAGCTTCAGATTCAGTTCTACTTTACTTAACTTTTATTGATACAGTATGTGTTGCTGCTTAGTAGATTTAAACCTCTTAAATACCTCTAGGAAAAGTTTAAATGCAGTTTAATATTTGAATTTCTGATTTCACTCCCCTTGGTGCTTTTATGCCCAGAAGTACTTTTTATGGTGGTCGTCTGAATGATCCAATTGTCAGATTTTGTTTTTATAAGTGAACGATGCCTAAAACTTTTCACATATTTTTGTGCCTTTCACAAAACTGCATATAATCAGCTAGGAAGATGTGAAGTGTCTTACCTTAGTGAGTACAGATTTTTCTAAATCAGCTATAACTTAGGAAAAAGAAATCTTTTGACGTCTTTTCATTGAAATTATTCCTAGAGTAGGTCATGTAATTAGCTATTTTTTCTATTTTTTACTAATGTAGAAGTTTATTTTATGAGCAGACTACTAGCAGTGGTTTTCTACATGTGTGTTCACGGGCTTTTTAACAACGGAGCCTGGAATTTGCAACAGTGATTTTAGTTCTGCTTACACTAGAATAAAATCCTACTTAGTATGAAAAGTTATCTCCAAAAAGAAATACACAGTGAACATACCCATACCACTTTGATTTTGTTACCTTGAATATGTGTGCGTTATGATGAATGTTAATACTTTTTAATTACTATTTTCACCTTTTTCCTTAGAATTCAGGATTATATTCTCATTGCTGCAGTGACTGGATAGTGTTTTTCAAGTAGCTTGCAAAATTTTATGCTAGTCTTTTAAGGACTGTATCTGGTGAAGCAAAGTTTCTAATATGTTCAATTAATACAGACTTTTTTTTGCCTGCTGTACTATGAATGTTTTGCAGCTAGGAATTTTAGATATTACTTTTGACAAAACACAACATTTCAATTTCTTTTCGTAGATGGAAATTAAAGTTTTAGATAGATAGTCAGAATCTTAAGGCTATATGCTTGTTGTTTGGAGAAAGAGTATGATGTATGGGTGGTTTTTTTTTTTTAAAGTAGTTATAAATTGTCAGCTTACCATACACTAGCATTGCGCAGTAGCTGCTGAGTAGAAAGTTGAGATCTTAAGTGATTAACTCATGGGACATGACAAACTGCACATTAGCTACATTACCTGTCTGTGAATGTAGAGGTGCAGCCATCTCAAATTGCAAAGAAGCTGTCTAGTGGAGGTAAAAATAAAGCTATAATTTCTAGTTCAGACTGCAGAAATTAGGCAGTGCTTCTCAGAGGTAGGAACCCTTATAGCAGTATTTCTTGGGAAGATGTCTTAGTGAATGTAACTATGTTTAGTTTTTTATTTACTGAGTAAGACTGGGAACTGTATGTAGTGTAGGAACATAGTCAAGTCAAAGTACTCTGCTTTGCTTCAGATATCATTCAATCTTCTTAACCCTATTTGCTGGTTGCAACAACTTTTATCTCTTTCTCTGATGCCTTGTTGAAGTACTGAAAGGGACAATCACATCTCCGATTCTTTTCATGAAGATGAGGTGACCTTTAGGGTGAAAAAGCAAAGATAGAGCTGGTGACTTACTAAGCATCATCAATATTTATGAAGAACTTTGTTATAGACCTCCTTTGTTTTTGCAGTAACCTGCTTTTATTCAAAAGTGAAAGCCTCTCCCAGCACAGAACCTTGAAAGCTCCTTTGTGAGCCTTTGTCAGGCAGTCTATTTGAGGCTTATTTTAATGGTTTTTGTGGCAAAGGCTCATTATAAAGAAAGTAATTTTCTTGCTCCTGTCCACATAGAAGTTAAAAATAATTGTTGATTCCTTATCTTCTGGCAGCAATCACTTTTTCTGTATTTTTAGGAGTTGGGCCCTCAAGCTGAGGAAGTTATGCAGCCTGTGATTTCCAGAAAAACAGTTGCAGCATTTTGTAGTTTGTGTTCTCATGTAATTTGTAGTAATTTGTTTTAGTTTACTGATTTTTCACGACATGCTGTCAAGCATAGATTTAAGTAATTTTATCTCATGAACAGTTGAAAGCGTAGTGTTGGAAAGTTGATCCACCAAGTGATAAATTCAGAAGGCAAGTATGTAAACCTCCCATGTAGAACAGGAGATAGTAGAAAAAAACTTACACCAGCTCTATCCATATGGAGAGTATTGCTTTATGGGCAGTGGTTGTACTTCGATCAGAGAGAGAATAGATTGAAGGAATTGATCATCAGCATGCAAGTTGCAGAAAGTTCTGTCACAGGAGATATAAAAATAGCTGCCATTTCTGGAAGACATTTGAAATATAGTAATTGTGAAGATAGGAGGTTTCTCTCATACACAGTTATGCACCATACTAGGAGTTACAGCTGTCTGAAGCTTTCCATCTTTCAAGTTTCTAAAAATCCACAATTGCAGGCTTTCTTAGGATGAAGTAGTCTTTTCTTTAGCTGTTTTTGTGTATTCGCACAAACGTGTAGTAATTTGGCTGATAGCTTTATAACTGTGTGGACTATGTATTTTGCATTTAATTGTACTAAATTGCACTCCCCCTTGTTCTCCTCATGTTTACATGTATACTTGTGTGTTTATAGTAAGTGAGTACTAAACTATGGTTTCAGAAGCAATTGGTGAAAAGGGAGTTGTCCTTCCAGTACTTCTTCCCAAGCTTGTCAGCAGAGCCATTATTTTCTATAAAACCCCATGATTTTCACAAATATGAGCAACAAAGTTGTTTATGCTACACAGTTTATGCTACAAATTAACTTATACTTAGTGTGAAATAACCTGCAGCTTAAGGGATAAAATTCCTATAGGTCCTGTGAAATCCCACTTGGAGATGGCAGGGGGAGGAGGAAGAGGGAGATGCATTAGCATATGAATGAATACTTCTAAAAGAAAGTTAGGTTATTTTCTGGCAATATGTCCTGAAAGCAGGTAAAGAAAATGTTACTGCGTTTTCAGATTATTTTACTTTCAAACCCTTCTTAACAGAGCATCTTTGTACTTCTCTGATTCTCGTAGGCATCCTTGATGAAAAGAGTAGCATTTTGAAATTGTATGTTTTCATGGTATTTCCTTATCTGCAGTCAGTATTTGTCTACTAAGTCTATTTATTTATCTTTATAATATCCCTTTTTCTTGTTTTCCTAATGACCTTGTAGCTTGGGGTTTTTTAAAAATATATATTTGTATTAATCTCTGTGCTAAGTCATGCTGTTTTGTGTCTTGAATGCCATGAAGATGGAAGACATTCTTAACAGAACAAAAGATCAGAGGTTCTTTTATAGTTCTGCTCACTGAGAGAACAAGGAAAAAATAGGCATGAAATATGATAGATGTTTTTATACACTAGACTTTGGAACTGAGAGTATTAATTCGTTGTATTTAAGAAAAAGTGGTTTTGTCTTGCCTGAATAAGAATTAACATTTCAAAACCATATTGCTTTGGAGAGGATCTGCTCATAAAGAATGCCTAACTGTAACTTTACTCTTAAATACGCTCTTTGAATTGTCCACGAATGTGCAGCAACATGGAGGTGTAAGTCAGGAAAAAAATGTGAAGTATTTTTCTTAAAGAGAAAATAGGTTCAGTGCTTTTGGGCTTTTTGAAATGTTTTTGGTTTTTTAAGGAAATGGACCTCTAACTTATTAAAAGCAAGTTTTAAAATTAGTTTGAAGATGTGGATTATTTTTAGTCTCATTATTATTTCATTTAGGTTTTATATCTAAATAAAGATTTTTATGAAAGTGCTTTAACTTTTCTGTGATAGTTTTGTCATTCAGTAACTATGAGTATGTTTTTGTCCAGAAGTTTGATATCATTAGTCAGTATGCATAAGTTTTTTAGTCAATTGAATGAGGAGCATATGGATGGAATCTAGAATATCTTTGCTTCTAATAAATTTTGTTTAATGTGTATTTTCCTAATACGCAAGTATAAGAAAAACTGCAATATGATCATAAGTGTAGTACTCCAAATAAAATGATTGCTGAATTGTTACCTGAAATTGCACTAAGGCTTTTGGAATTAGTAGAAAACGGTTTTGTATTTTTTATTGATTTTTGAATTAATCTTTCATGCTATCAGCCTTTCTTTTCATGGTTAGAAGATAAGGTGTAGGTGTATTTCATGCACTATGCTGTAATTTAAGTGACAGATAGGTATTTAAAATATGATTCAGTTATCTTTTGCAGAAAGGAGTCTGTAAATGAGAGAAGTCATGTGTTATGTGTTGAAGAGTGTAAAACATATTCAGCTTTCCTTGTCTAATTTTTCTAACCTCCCTTAGTAAATGGGTCATTTTCATAATGACTGGGAGCCTTTGCAAGTGAATGAGAACTCTTTTGTTCTTACTTACCTGGCAAGTGGACCAGAAGAATGGCAAGCAGCTTCTGCTGCTTGAAGTGGCTTGGTAGAACCCCTGTTTGTAATGCTGCTGTTAGAACAGGCTTACTTAAAACAGTTCTTGTTTATAGCAGGGAGGAGTATCTATTATTAGAGTTTATTTTTTTCATGTTAGGTAATTTTTGAGGTCACAGATCTAAAAACAGGTGGTTCAGCAGTGGATTATCATACCGGTGAAACTGCTGTATTAATATTTCCAATAAGGCAGATGCTCAGTATTGTGAATTGGGTTTTATTTTTCTTAACTTTTG